GGCCAAACATTCTAAATTTTTATCCCAATCTGTCTGTTTGCCTTTTATGTATGATTTTATCATACTAATTAAAGTTCTGTTAAACCGTTCAAACAGGCCATTGGCTCTTGGGTTTCTAGGAGTTGTTCTAGTTTTCTTGATTACTAAAATCTTACAAAATTCTTGAAATAATCCACTTTCGAAATTTCGACCTTGGTCCCTGTATATACTTTGCGGACAGCCATATCTTGCTATAAATTCATTACAAATTTTGTCAGCACAAGTTTCTGAAGTTTGGTCATGGATAGGTAATATTTCAACCCATTTACTAAAGTAATCCATTGTAACTAAAATGTATTTGTTGCCTCGAGGAGTCCTAGGTAAAGGTCCAAGTATAAACGATCTAAAGGTGCTCCTACTCTCATGTCACCCATAGGTGCTTTTGCAGGTTTATTTGACATTTTATTCATCTGACAAATATGACATTTTTCAATCCAGACATGTACATCAGTTCTCCTTTCATACCAATGGAATGATTTCTTTATTTTTGCAGTTGTCTTTTTAACCCTAGATGCCCAGACACCACAGAGTCATGCATCTGCTGTAAGACTTCGTTACACAAAGAATGGGGTATTAATAGTTGAAGGTAAGTATAATTTCCATCTTTCGAGATGTATTCTCTATATAAAACGCTGTCTTTCAATAGAATGGAATCCCACATGTTACAATAATATCTGCAAGCAGGACTGGCATATTTCAGTAAGACTTCATTTGGCTGATGACTCTCTTCCTTTGCATTATAGAGTAATTTTAAATCTGGGTCATTTTGCTGTAACTGTGTCATACTTACAGGTTTACAAACATCATGCCAAGTGGTAAATTCAGTATTTTTCTGATTACGAGTAACAGCACAAATATTATTCTCAGCACTGATACGTGTATTACACCATCTCTTCTTTTGAGGGGTTTCTTCATTTCTTTTACACACTTTTAACAGGGGCCACACTTCAACTTGATTTCATCATAACATTGGCAACTATGAGGATCAGGACATCTAGATAATGCATCAGCATTGCCATGTTTATGTCCAGGTCTGTATTCTATGGAGAAGTCATATACTGATAGTATTTCTATCCATCGAGCACTACGTCCTTTTGGTTCTTTAATTTTGAACAGCCAGACTAAGGCTTGATGATCTGTTCTAACTCGGAATTTTTTACTTAATAGGTATTGTTTAAAATATTCAATGAAGTATTTTACTGCTAATAATTCTTTGTCATTGACACAATAATTTGTCTCGGCCTTGTTCAAAGTTCTACTAGCACATGAAATAACTCTTTCTTGACCATTTTGTATTTGGCTAAGAACAGCCCCAATGCTGTAATTACTGGCATCGGTATCGAGAATAAATTCTTCAATTGTCATAGGAAAGGTCATAATATCTGGTCCAGTAAGACATTCTTTAGTCTTTGTAAAAAGCTATATCGCAATTTTCAGTCCATTTGAAAGGAACATCTTTCTTCGTCAGTTGTATTAAGGGTCTAGCAAATGGCAGAAAAGTCCTTGATGAGTTTTCTATAGTATGAAGCCATTTCTAATATCTGGCGTATTTCAGTGACATTTTTCGGTATAGGCCATTCCAAATTTTTGGATATATTTTCGGGATTTGGTTTTCAGTCCTGTTTACTCTTACGATTTCGCCGTATTTTGTACGGATTTTGAGTCCAAAATACGTCTCACGGTTTGCTATAATGAAAATACGGAAATCGGGAAATCCTTTCATTTGTATTTTAGCAGCTAGTTTTCGATATGATGTCTGAGTTTGACGCTTTTTAATCGCTAAAAAAGAGAAAAATTTCAAACACTTAAGTGATGTCGGGCTGCCAAAACGCTGTGGTTTAAAATGAAAGAAACCCCTCGAGTGAAAGCAAGGTATTATGTTTTTCTTTGTTATTAAACCATGTTTATTTTTGGTAATCAGAATTGAAGTTGTTCTCGAGGAATATATGTACAATCGATGAAAAGTGAAATCTTACGGGGAAATGCCAAAACTCACTTACAAATCTAATAAAAAATACTGAGAGACAACAATATGGGTAAACAGGTCTGGGTTTTACACCATCTTTGTTTACAACATGACTTAGAAAGGTAACCTCTTGTTGAAATAATTGGCACTTTTTGGGTATTAACTTTAGTCCGGCTTGATGTATGCATTCTAAAACTTCTCGCAGGTATGTTAAGGCAGTACCCAGATCATATTTCGGCGAATTAAGACTTTTTTTCGTAAAATGAAACATTGATAAATCGGAAAAGCCTTATATAAAACATTTACTATTATTATCCATTGTATAGACGTCATCGAGTCTTAGGCTAAAAGAAGCACTCCACTACGACGTCATCACGTGACGTCTATAAATAGAAAAAATTGCCTTAATGAAAAAGTGAAAAGTTCAACACTACCCCGGAGCTAATTCATTTCTTTTAGTGAAAATAATTATGTAAAAACATCACTGGGCCACGAAAAGTGCTGCTAGAATCCTACTCTCCCGACACAGAAAAAAAATATTCCAAAGTTTCGCAAGAAACCTTACCAAAATTTTTACATTTTATACATACGATCAAGGAATTCTTATCAATTAATGTTAACCACAGGATTCTAGCAGTACTTTCCAAGTACAATAGAATACAAGCTTTCGATACAAACAAAAATTATGTTTCAAAGTATGCGGCGTAGTGTTGAACTTTTGCATCTTTGTTGTTATAGAACGACAGAGGAAAGGCTGATCGGGATTTCAAAGCACTGTCTGTGTTCATTATAAGAAAACATGACAAAAATATATCAGCGTACCTGATTCTTAATCTTTAATTCCTTATGAATCACAAATAACAGTCACGGTATATGCTTTAAAACTCCCATCTCATCTATTTTTTTACATGAATTCTCGTCACGTTTATTTTCACTCGGCAAATATTTGATCAATAGTTATGACGTCATGGGTTTGGTATTTAACCCCCGTGCTAAATACTTAGCCATTTATACCACCCAAAAACGACAAGGTTTAGTTTATATTATGTTTTGAATGATTCCATTCATTTGTTTGACCTGAAATTTAACTTTAAATATAGATATTAAGAAATCATTATTTCTAGAGTTCACGTCATACAGCTAAAGTCTTTGAGGTTCTTGACAAATATTTATTAACACATATACAAACACATATACAGATCCCTAGGTTCTGGCCCGGGCCGACTCCCCGCTCCGCTGCTGTCCCTGACACGTCCTGTCAGCTCGGCATCCACGTGTAGAAGAGATCCGTGCGACTGTCCCGCCGTCTGACGTAATACAGACAGTAAGTCGTACCACGGGACAGTCGCACAGATACTACACTCCCCTCTGTTTTCTTTGAAAGGCTGGAGTCTACCACAGGAAAGAGGGTCCGGAACCATCTCCAACGTCGGGGCGCTGTAAACACCCTCCCGGGCTTACTGCCCAAGAATAAAGAGTGCCGGAGCACACTCCAGGCAAAACCACACCCAGGATCAATCCTGGTAACAAGTCCGGGACTACTCCCAACCAGGTGGTATGTCCGGGATAATTCCCAGACAATCATCCTACATCTGTTTAACGATAACCAAGTGGGCCAAGGTCATCAGGCCCACTCACTACTGAGAAACTGTGACACCAGTCACACCATCAGGCCCTGGAGGGTAAACTCGCCCTCCGGCGTCGCCCACGCCTCCGCCTTGATCTGTATAAACGACATGCACTGTTCTCCTCTGGTGTCGCACTGTCAGACGACAAGGGACTGCCAGAATCATATGGGGTTGTCCCCACTTCCGCAACATGGTCCTTCGTGACCCCATCTATATCTACCTCCAGGGTGGGGCCTTTGTCCACAGAACTCAGTGATCCCACAGAAACTAGACCATAGGCCGCCTCATTCGAAGGTCGGGCTGGTCTTGGGGAGAGAGGTGTAACACTGAAATCCTCAACTGCAGAATCCAACAGAGACTCCTCCACCATCTCTACTTCCAGGCATGGCACGCACAGGCTAACAGCAAAGTCTTGAGATTGGCGTGACTGCCCAGTTTGTATACAGGTCTCCTTCCCCTCATTCTCGGGTGACACCTGATCAGAACTACCAGGGCTGGCCCTCCCAAAGCCCTGGAACTTCCTAGTCCTATCCCGAGCTGGTCCAAGTGGCTCCGGAGTGGAGTGGGGGGCCACAAGCTTCCCCACTTCCTCGTCCAAGGATGCCTCTTCCTCCTCAGCTGAGAATAGCTCCGGCGATTGGGGCGTCTCAAAGCGGACCCTTAGCCTGCGCCGCTTGCGCCTACGCCGCATACAGGAGGGGGGTTGACTAGCCCCCTGCTCCTTACTCTCCGAGTCCGTCCTCTCTGTGGACTGCTCTGGGTTCATAAATCGAACTGCCTGGGAGGGCCCTCCCTGGGATCCAGGTCTTCCACTCCTTGGTCCCCTCTCCTGGGACTCAGGCCTACGATACCTCTCACCAAGGGGTCCCTTCATCCGGGCTCCGCCCCGCAGCCCATCAGTGGCTACTGTCTTCCCTGTAGCTCGAGTGGGGCAATTTCTACGGAAATGCCCCACCTCTCCACACTTAAAACACACAGAAGGCTTCCGCTTATGAGCCGTCCATCTGGATGGCGGGGAACCAGCCCTCCGAGGTTTCGGAAAGGGGGCATATCCTTTCTGCCTCAGGGCCTCCTCAAGTTTCTCTATCCTGCTCCGGAGAGCTTCAAGCTCCTCCCTAGCATCCACATTTCCCATCCCAGGATCATCCCGTCCAGTGTCCTCACCGAGGATCAACTTCCGCACCTCTCTCTTGGCTTTAGGCCTATGTAGCCGGGAGTGCTGGTAGTATTGCATTCGCTCCATGGCTTCCTCCACAGTCCGGGGATGTCCGTCGAGGGCGTAAAGGCCAGCATCTCGGTCCTCGGCTCCATAACACAGCCTAGGTATGGTGTGTGTGTGCACGTCCGGCACACAAGGGAAGGCTTGC